GATTCAATTATGATTTGCTGTTGACAAAGATAGGCTAAAATTAATCCGTTAAAATATGATTTGGGAAATTTTTTAACTACAGGATTTAAAGGTAATGGGCATTCCCCAAGCTAATTATTATTACTCTACAGTTCTTGAATCTACTTGAGGTCTGTGATGAGTATATAACTTTTAAGGATCAAATTTTGTTAGTATGGCATTTACTTCACAAACATAACTTCAGATTTAAGTTTGAAATAAGATGTAGATCATTTCATATTTTCAATCAAATTATTTAGTCCACCAAGGCTATAAAGAAATCACATAAATTTTCACAATTTAAAAATTAGTACTTTTCACAAACTTCCCAATTACTATTTTTCCCTAGGCTTGGTTCTTGGTCTCAGATACTAACGCAGGATTTTTCAAAGTGCCATTGCAAAAAGTCAATACACTTGTGGGGGGAAAAAAATCCTCACATTAAAAAATATTAGAAATTATGTAGTGCATTTCAGGTTTAAAGAGATTTACAAACATTAATCATTGCCCAAGAATAAATCCCTACTCAATATAGCATTCAGTTCCAGGAATGACAAAATCAAAAGTTTAGCCCAACATTATTTGTCACCTTTGATGGAGGTTGATGGACTAATAACACAGTCAAAAGAGCTAAGCAGTTGATTATTTCAGTTTTTTTTTTTTTTTTTTCCTTGAGCTGCTGCTTAAAAAAGAAAACAAAAAAATTGCCATGGGGTCAATGCCAGCTCACAGCGACCCTGTGTGGGGTTTCTGAGAAGCAACTGGTGGGTTTGAACCACCAACCTTTTGGTTAGAAGTCCAGTGCTTATGCTACAACGCCATAGGAGCTCTGGTAGTGTAGTGGTTATGAATTGGGCTGCAAACCTTAAGGTCAGCAGTTCGAAACTACCAGCTGTTCCATGGGACAAAGAGGCTTTATGCTACTGTAAAGCTTTACAGCCTCAGAAATCCTGTACAGGGTCGCTATGAGTCGGAACCGACTCCATGGCACATAACCACTACCACCATATGCATATGAATATTGGACAGTGAATAAAGAAGCTAATAAAAGATTGCTGTTGTTGTTAAGTGCCATTCAGTCAGTTCTGACCCATAGCGACCCTGCACAGGGTTTATGAGGGAGCAGCTGGTAGTTTTGAACTGCTGACCTTGCAGTTCACAGCCCAATTCATAACCACTATGCTACCAGAGCTCCTTGGACACAATAGAAGATTAGATGCATTTAGGTTATGGTGTTGGAGAAGAATGGTAAAAGTACCATGGACTGCCAATAGAACAAGCAAATCTGTGGTGGAAGAAAGCACAGAGAGGATTGTGAGACCATCTCTCATTCTTTGGACATATTGTCAGAAGGAACCCGTCTTTGGAGAAGGACAACATTGTTGCTAAAGTGGAGGGTCAGTGAAGAAGACGATGACCCAACAAAATGAATTGGCACAGTGGTAGCAATGGGCTCATGCGTAACAACAATTGTGAGGATGGCCCAGAACTGGGCTGTATTTTGTTTTATTGTACATACGGTTGCTGTGAGTCAGAAACAACTCAACAGCAACTAACAATCACCACCACTACCACAACAACAAAGATGGGTCAGTGGTAGAATTCCTGGTAGCTTAGTGGTTACGAATCGGGCTGCGAACCTTAAGGTCAGCGGTTCGAAACTACCAGCCGCTCTGCGGGAGAAAGATGAGGCTTTCTACTCCCGTAAGGATTTACACCCTCGGAAACCCTGTACAGGGTCTTTATGGGTCGGAACTGACTCGACGGCACTTAACAACAACAACAATGCAGAAGCCCTTGGTTCAACTACTTGCCAGTACACCTTAAGCCCAGTATCCGTTTGTCTGATGGTAGAGCCTTGTTTGGTGCTGTGATACTGGTTAAGGTTTCAGTGGAGCTTTTAGATGAAGACTGATTAGGAAAAAAGGGCTACAGTGGTCCAGTATCGTGTGCATCAAGTCACCAGGAAGTGGAAGTTGACAGAAACTAACAACATCTACAAAGTATGCCTAACAAGATTCAAAATTCTATGCTTTAAAACATGAAGTTATTTAGTATTTATTCTTTTCTCAAAAAATGGTATATTCCAAGAATTTTCTTTCCATTTTATTTGTCGACGAAATATATTTGTACATCAGATTCTATAGTATATGGTAGCTTATATTTTAATCAGATTTATAAAAGATAATTTCTTTCTTGTCTAAGGATACTACGGAAAAACAAATTGCCCCATCATTTGGCCTTAAAATATAGTCCCGAAAGCAAAGATGTGTTTTAACCATTGATATCTCTATTCAAGACTTTATTAAACGCTGTGAAAAACAAGAATGTTAAAACAAGGACAAAATTAACGGAGACAGAGTTGCCTTTTTAAAAGTATTTTGCTTTGTAAAAACCTGAGGATAATCCTAATAACTACTTTATACAGATCTTAAAAAATGTTTTAACATGGAAAAGTAGAATGCAAATAATCTCCAAATTAAAAAAAAATAAGTAAAACAAATTCAAGATTTTAAAAGTATGTGTTCATTGATCAGGCGTTCATGGGAGTTGCAGCTGGTGGATTTGAACTACTAACCTTGGGGGTTAGTATTCTAGTACTTGTACTGCTGCACCATACCAGGACTCCCCCATGTGAAATCTCCTTACCTTTTTTTTATTTTTCCACTCTGACTTTTTCTAGACACAATTACCTATTTCTCCCTTTCTCATGCCTCTCTGAAAGTCAGGTCAGTAAACATCATACAGAATCTTGTCTAGAACCTTGTTGATGGTTTTCTGCTCCTTAGTGTAGCTTCCCTGATTTTTTACAATAGTGTACTATATGTTTTTCTTTATTTTTAAAAAATTTCTTTTTATAGAACTACAAGGTGAATCTATTCCATTTAAAAAGATTTAATTAATAGTAGCATTGAATAGTTCCCTTGATTGATGACTTAGAATGTTCCAGAGCCATGACAAATGCCATATGTGCATTATATGTTTTCATCCAGAATCATGACAAATGCCATATGTGCATTACATGTTTTCATCCTGATAGTTTCAACACCAATAGCAGTTGCTCTTGACTTGATTCTGACACATGACGCTTCTGTGTGCTTCACAGTAAAACTGTCCTCTGTAGGGTAGTTTTCCATAACTGTGACCTTTTAGAAGTAAATCGCCAGACCTTTCTTCTGAAGGAGCCTCTGGGTGGATATAAGCCACCAACCTCCAGCTAGTGGCAAAGTGCCTAATTAATAATTTTTGCCATCTATGGATGGTAATAATGGTAGGGGGATGTCAAAGATCTATCCAAGGTCTTACTGAGTTTAGTAGTGAAGTGAACCCATCGCAAACCAACGCACATGCTACTTAACACTAACATCAAATTATATCACTATTTGGAATTAATTTATCTATATAAACGAAAATATAAATTAGTTAAAATCTTGTATAGGAATACATGCCTTTAATATTGAAGCAGTGATGAACTAAAGATCATCCTATAAACAAAAAATTTTTTAGAGCTATCTTAGTTTTGGGCAGAAGGGCAACATGACTGATTTATTAGATATGAGATGACACACAGACAAAAACCCATAGTATAGGGAAGAGAGCGTAATTCTTGTATCTTGCCAAGTTGAGAAACCATTATGACAATCTGCCAGTACTGGAATCTGAACAATACAGATGTGTTTTGGACAGGCAGCTGTTAAAATGAGTATGACAAAGAATGTTTGCTATTGCTTATTTGCTTTACTTCATAAAACTGCACCAGATCTTAAGGCATTGGGGAGAATAAGGCTCATTAATTTGTACTGTGTGTGCAATGTACTATTTAGGCAATGAACAGTTTCTGAACTAAGGAAAGCAACTGTCCATCTGTTGCTGACAGTGTTGAGTATGTTAAACAGCTCCACAACTCTTTAGAAATGAAAAAAACAAAGTTGAATTGTTACAAAGATGGACCAAAAATTTTCAGTGAAATTTAAGATGTTACAGGATGTTAAGAAGGTAAAACTAGTGTGATTGTTTATTCACACCTAGTTCAAAAGGACATCAAACCCCACTGGATGTGATTTAGAGCTGGTAGCAGCAGCTCGAAGTCCCTCAGGGCTCTTTGTAGAGAAAATGAATGACTACATAGGATCACAATGGTCTAGACATTAAACTCTCTTCTTCCATACTACTTCATCCAGAGCTTGCAGTCCCAACAATTGGTACCACTTATGAGGTAGATTCACCTTGGAAAAGAGTCAACCACAAAAATCTTTGCAAGTTCTAAACAATACAGGATTATTTTCATTGCTACAGAGAAAACTGGGAATGCATATTTTGACCAAAATTAGAAAATCTGGCCAGAGAATTCTGTTCCCAGATTTCTTTATTGAATAAAAATAAGGCCACATACATTACGAACATTTTGTCATAATTACCTGAGATTTATTCATGCAACTTTTTCCTTAAAGCAAATATTCATTAGGCTTTTAAAAAATAGAAGTGCTGTCCCGTAGCAACTGTTTATTGCATACCAAGAATTAAAAGGAGATTTTTTTTTTTTTTTTGGTGGGTACTTATTTCCCTTCTTTTCTACTTATTTATACATAAAATGTGCTTTTATTATTTTTATTATTGTATCTCCTAGAAAAATGAATTAAGAACATTATTGGTATATTATCAGGTACAAATATTTTAAGTCCTAAGTTGATTTAGAAGTATTAAAAACACACTGTGTTTTGGGATTACTTACATTTTTAAAGAATACAAAATGTAAACAAATTACTTTATTACTAAGTAGGGTCAAAACTTTTAATATTGAAATAAATTGTCTAGAGCATGTAAAAGCACACCTCTCAGCTATGGTAACTGCAGATTTATGGCATATTTATTGTTATTAAGGATAGTTACTTATACCCTCCATATAAAACACTCGAAACACACACAGTAGTTAAAACAGGTAATTTGACACCTTTGATACATATGCAATCATGTGTGAACTTAAATTCAAAAGTGTTTAAAATTGTTTATTGATGTACCATAGATATTTATAAGGTCTTAATATACATTTGATTTCTTTCCAAACAAGTCCGTATTAAGAATGCGTCATGAAACTGGGATCTAGGGAGAGAGCTTATTTACAGAATGATTTCTTTGCAAAAATCCTTCAAATATTTATGGTTTTATTAATCATAGAAGTAGCTGAATAGCAAAACAGTAAAAAATTACAATGACAACTGACAGAAAACGGAAGGTGGGTTCTAAGACTTGAATTCCTCGGGAACTCAAACCTGAAACAAATAAAAATAAGATCATTTTGAGATTGAGTAAAATTCTGAGATTAATTCAAGAACTTAATTGCATACTAGCATTTCTTTCATTAACATTTTTCTTAAAGATTTTTATTCACATGATATAAAGTTGTAGGAAGTGTTTTAATTTCTGTCTTAAGATGATTGCTTTAGGAATAAAAATGTAAAAGAAAAATGCCTACTCTGGCTAAATATTCCTAAAAGAGCAGATTGGAGTTCAACCATCATCTCATGGCAAATGACTCTTTCAGTTAGCTGCAGCTTCAGGCGTGAGTAATTCAGGAATGAGAGATTCATCTATAGCAGAAATAGTACATTGTTATCATGTGCTAACTCTGAATAAATGATGTTGGCTGCTTAAGCCATTGTTCTGAGAAGGATTCAGAAGTGTGACTCTGATCAGTATGAATGCCGTGACTGATTAGTGATGTCTGCCATGATTACAGAAATTGCAGTACAAGTACTTCACATTTGTCATCCCTGCACTAAGACTCATGTGGTTGTCAATAAGGAAAATTTGCTTTTATGGGTAATAGAAATACACATATAGTTATTAGGCATTTTTTGTTGTTGTCGATGTTGTTGTTTATATATTCAAATGAAACATAAAACTGTTTGTAGTAAATACAAGCATGTTGCAAACTTAAAGGACCATTATCAAGAAAAAAATGTATCCTTACATCTTCCTCTCATAAAAAAAGGGGAAACAGATTTTTTTTGACTCAAACCTTGAAATGAGGAATTGGAAAGTTTCATAGTACCCACATTTCTTGTTGGAGCTGTCTAGATAAAAAATGCACAGTAACATTGGTGACTCAACTTACTTGACATTCTTGGAATTCTAATTTCTTCACTGCTACTTCCATCTCCACCATCACTGACTGTCCTTATTTCAATTAAGTAATCTTCTTCAAATGGAACCAGAAGTTCAGCTGATGTATTGTTCGTTTCCAAAATATGAGTTTTACTTTGTCTGTTTTGTCTGTACAGGATCTGAATAAAATGGTGAAACAGTGAATATGTATCTGTTGTTTTTGCGGGGTTCAAAAATTACATTCAAAAGTGAATGTCTAGGTGAAATGTCTAGACTGCTTCTCAGATGTCAATATCAGGTGATGCATAGTCACTCAATTGAGTTGTTTTTGTTAAGGGATACTTCACTTTTGGTCAGTGCCTCTGAAATTTATCTCTATGAATTCAATAGCTTGAGGCTATACTCTCCAGAACTTTCTGTGATAAGTAACTTCTTAGTCTGGACCCCTTTCAAATGCCTGAGTGTATGGTTCTGCCAAGAGATGAATGTCCACAACACTGAAGGAAATTATTTGTTCTGGGTATTTGACTACACTCAGGTTAAATTCCTTTTAGGTACTTAAAATACCACAGCATTGTTGTTGTTGTTAGGTGCCATCGAGTCGGTATCGACCCATAGCGATCTTTTTCTCTGACCCTCCATCTTACCAAACATGATATCCTTCTTCAGTGAATGGTCCCTCCTGAAAATATGTCCAAAGCATGAGAGACAAAGTTTGGCCATACTGGCCTCTAAGGAGCACTCTGGCTGCACTTCTTCCAAAACGGATCTGTTGGTTCTTTTAGCAGCCCATGGCACTTTAATATTCTCCTCTAACACCATAACTCAAAAACATCAATTCTTCTACGACCTTCCTTATCCACTGTTCAGCTTTCACATACATCAGAAGTTATTGAAAATACCATGGCTTGGGTCAGGCACACCTTAGCCCTCAAGCTGACATCTTTGCTCTTCAACACTTTAAAAAGGTTTTGTGTATCAAATTTACCTAATGCGGTACATTGTTTGATCTCTTGTCTGCTGCTTCCATGAGTGTTGATAGTTGATCTAAGAAGAATGAAGTCCTTGACAACTTCAATCTTTTCTCCATTGATAAGAATGCTGTTTATTGGTCTAGTGGTGAGGATTTTTTGTTTTTTGTTTTTTTTTGACATTGAGATGTAATCCATACAGAAGGCTGTGCTCTTTGATCTTCATCAGTACATGTTTTAAGTCCTCTTCAATTTCAGCAAGCAAGGTTATATCATCTGCATATCGCAGGTTGTTAATGAGTCTTCCTCCAATCCTGATGCCACATTTTTCTCCATATAACCCAGCTTCTTGGATTATTTGCTCAGCATACAGGTTGAATAAGTATGGTGAAAGAATACAACCTTGTCGCACACCTTTCTTAATTTTAAAACATTCAGTATTTCCATGTTCTGTTCGAACAACGCCTCTTGATCCTCATGAGCACAATTCCGGAATACTCATACTTCACAATGTTGTCCATAGCTTGTCATGATCCACACAATCGAAAGCCTTTGCATAGTCAATAAAGCACAGGTAAACATCTTTCTGATAGTCTCTACTTTCAGCCAAGATCCATCAAACATCAGCAATGATATCCCTCGTTCCACGGCCTCTTCTAAATCCGGCTTGGACCTCTGGAAGTTCTCTGTCAATGTATGATTGTAGATGTTTCTGTATTACCTTAAGCAAAACTTTACTCTGATGGGATATCAAAGAGATAGTCCTATATTTTCTGCATTCCATTGGGTCACCTCTCTTTGAAATGGGCACAAATATGTATCTCTTCCAATCAGTTGGCCAGATCATTGTTTTCCAAATTTCTTGGCAGGGATAAGTGAGTGCCTCCTGTGCCACCTCACTTTCTTGAAAGGTTTCAATTTTTATTTCATCAATTCCTGGTGCCTTGTTCTTTGCCAGTTCCTTCAATGCACCTTGGACTTCTTCCTTCAGTGTCATTGCCTCTTGATCATATGCTACCTTTTGAAACGGCTGAACATTAACCATTTCCTTTTGGTACAGTGACTGTTTATTTCTTCATCTTCTCTTAATGCATTCTGCACAGAGAATCTTTGAATAATGAAAATCGAGGCTTGAATTTTTTCTTCAATTCTACCAGCTTGAGAAATGCTGAGCATGTTCTTCCTTTCTGGTTTTCCTATTCCAGATCTTTGCACATTTTGGTGTAATGTTTGGCTTTATCTCCTCAAGCTGATCTTTGAAATATCCTGTTCAGCTCTTGGACCTCCTCATTTCTTCCATTTGCTTTAGCATCTCTATGCTGGAGAGCAAGTTTCAGTGTCTCTTCTGACATCCATTTTGACCTTTTCCTTCTTTCTTGTCTTCTCAATGACTTTTTGCTTTCTTCGCGTATGATGTTCTAGATCATCCCACAAGTCTTCTGGTCTTCAGTATTTAGTGTTTAACGTATTCACATCTGTTCTTCAGATGATCTCTAAATTCAGGTGAGATAAATTTCAAGGTCATATTTTGGCTCTCGTGGACTTGTTTTCATTTTTGTCATCTTCAGTTTGAATTTGCATATGAGTAATTGACCACAGCATACTGAAGACTAAAGTTGTAAAAGTTAACATCTAAATACATTCCTTAACCTTCCCATTTCACATCCAACCTTCCGATTTCATGTCCTGATGTGGAGCCGTAAGATAAGCACTGAACCAGTGGTTCATACTCATCGGCTGCCTTTTGGAAGCCCTGTACAGAGTTGTCATTCAGAAGCGAGTTGATGGCACAAACAACAACACCCACACATGGCATCACTATTTGATGACAAAAAGAGTCATCAACTCTTGTTAAGTTTTCATTTATTGATGTTCCATGACATGTTAGTGGGCCTGAAAATGTAAAAGGATTTCAAGAAATAATTTTAAAATGACGCTGCTAAATAGTTTTGAAACTAAATTAGAAAGACTCGTATGTTTCCATACATAAAACTTGTTTTTTCCTCTTAGATTGTTACATTTCTGGTTCCTTATAACCGAACTTACATACAGAATTAGAGGGAAATCTACTTACCTTGTAACCCAACACTTCAGACTCATTTTCCATGGTTTTTACATGCTCCCAGTTCAAGCATAATTTAGAGTTTGTCAGTTTCCAGGCAATATTTGCTGGGGGCTGACTTGGTGCTTTAAAAATAAAATCATAAGATCCAAATTAATACTAATTAGATCATGGTTTACTGCCACAGTCATCAAATGTTGCTGTAATAGAAATACCGCAAGAGATGGCTTCCGTAAAGCAGACATTTTCAAACTGTTTAGCAGGCTACATGTCTGAAATCAGGACATTGGCTCTAGAAGAAGAGTCTGTCTATGGCTCTAGAAGAAGAGTCTGTCTATCAGACAGTTGAGAAAGGTTCTTTTTTCTTCTGAGCTGCTCTGGGGTGATCTTCATAGTGCTTGTCATCTCTTGTCCCATGTCTCTTACTTGCTTATTTGACATAATGTGTTTTATATCACAAGTGATTGGCTCAAGATGCCCTGTTTAACTGATCATGTCTCATTTACATAATAAAGACAATCCCATCCAATCCAAAATGGGATCCTCACAAACATACAAGTCAGAATGTACAATATATAATTATGGGAGTTGGAGTCCTGATGTGGAGCTGTGGGTTAATGCCCTGTACTGCAAAGTCGGTTTGAACCCCAAGGTTGGCAGTTGAAGCTCACCACTTGCTTCTTGGTAACTCTATACACGGTCACTATGAGTTGGAACTGACTTGATGGCAATGCACAACAACAATAACACTTAGTGGAAGACATATTATAATTGTAATAGTTACTGTATAGCCATCAACATCAAAAGGAAAAATAAATCTTGGATAATTAGAATTAGTTATATATTTATAGTGGTATTTGAAATAGGAATTCTCATCAAGGTAAGCAAATTCACTCAATTCCTTGTTATTTAGGAATGTCCTTATGAAATGTTTAGGAATGAATAGTGGCTTACAGCATGCCTACTATTTATTAATTATAGCTATTGAACTTGCTTACTTTGCCATATGTAAGTAGATGGAGGATCCATTATCTTTGTTTTCTATTTGATTAGCAATCAAAGAGCAAGTTAAGCAAATTAAGGCTGAAGATGTTTTATATTAGCACAGACACGCTCATTCCTAATGGTCTTCTGCTCTTTAACCTTGAATTTGCTAGATCTCTTTAGCTGTGACACAATCAACTTAAATTACTTTCGGTAAAATATTGATAGTAGATAGTTAGGTCATAAAGGAGTCTTTGAGAACTTTTGGCAGCATGCTTTGTCATCTAAGTAGGGACAAATGAAATCATGTTAAAAGTTCAAAAATGATCTGTTTCTTACCACAGTAAGACATAGTCCAACTAACTGCAGCCGGATGGTGAGAAGAAACACATCATTCAAAATCAATATAACTGATTGTTATTTATTTTTGTTGTTAAGTGCCGTCAAGTCGGTTCCGACCCATAGCAACCCTGTACAGGGCTTCCGAGGGTGTAAATCTTTACGGGAGTAGAAAGCCTCATCTTTCTTCCGTGGAGCGGTTGGTAGTTTTGAACCGCTGACCTTAAGATTTGCAGCCTGATTCATAACAGTACACTAAATTTAGTTATTAATCACCCTTAAGTCAGTTCAGACTCATACTGACCCTGCATAGGGTTTCTGAGGCTGTAAATCTCTGTGGGAGCAGGAAGCTTCATCTTTCTCCATAGAAAGTCACCATGCTTCCCAAATATAGTTGATTTGTTGTTGTGTTGTGAAGTGACATCAAGTCATTTCTGACCCATAGTGATCCTATATAGGGTTTCCAAGGAGCAGCTGGTGAGCTTGAACCACTGACTTTGCAGTTCAAATGTCTTTGCAGTCTGATGCATTAGCCAATAGTGCCTATATAGTTGATAGGTACCTAGAAAATGGGAAACCACTACCAACTACATAAAGATCTCAATGTCAGCTTTAAATCCAACAAGTGTGGCTTTTGGTTCACTAAAGTAACAAATTTATTCCTGACGTAACACTATAGGAAAAGCATGGGACTGTTAACTGCAAGGTTGGGGGTTCAAACCCACCAGTTGCTCCTCAGAAACCCTACTCAGGGTCACAATGAGTCATAATCGACTTGACAGCATTAAACAACAATAATTAAGCTAAAGAATTTCACGTGTAAGAAAACTGGACTCGAGGTTAGGAAGCCATTTTAGCCATATACACAAATAATTAGTGATTGGCTGAGACAAATTGGAATCTGGGTGTACTGGTTTCCCAGCTAGTATTACCCCATGACAACATGCCACTTATCAAAGACTTGAGTCCTAATGATTATATTTGAGATTAAAGAAACTAGAGAGATTAAAAATAATTCAGCTGGAAAGCAGAGGCAAAGATAAAACTGCCCAGCAAGATGTTTTTGACATCTGATTTGATTTTGTAAGGCTGAATGAACATAATATTTAACTCATTATAATACTGACGGATATGGAAATGATTTCTTTTTAGAGTTCTGACTCAATGCTGTTTCATCTCCACACTGAAGGAGTAGCCTCTTGCTGCATTCAGGGTACCTTGCTTTGCATTAATCATTCCCTTGCCTCCCTAAATATGCTGGGATATAACTTGTTCATGCAGCCAGTTACACCAGAGTTGAAACACACCACGAAAACCCATGAAGTTGGTTCTGACACACAGGTAGCGTATAATACAGAGTTGAACAGCCCCATGGGGTTTTCAAGGCTGTAAATCTTTATGGTGGTAAACTGTCACATGAGTCTTCCATGGAACAGCTGGTGTATTGGAACCATTGACCTGTCAATTAGCAATTAAACACTGGACCACCAGGACTCCTCTTGATCGAGAATCATGTGTTTTTCGACAGAAAGATAAATCATGTCTCTCCTTATTGCTAAAAAATGACATTGCTGAAGTGGAGGATCAGTAACCACCAGAAAAACCCTAAATGAAATAAGATAATACAACAGTGGATTCATACATAGGAATAACCACTGCTTTCATAGATCCCAATTCATGTTTTATTATATCTTTCATACGAGCACTGGCAGTGTCTTAGTTAGCTCTGAACTATCAACCCCTAGCACAATGCGTGGTGTGGCACTGTAGGAGAAGCACAATACCTGAGTTACTTGCACTTACAAACTATAGCCACAGACAACTCATTTATATTGACTTTATAGATTGAAATGATTGAAAAAGAAAGAAAAAGATACTGCTCGCAGTCCTGTGTGATTTTGGTTGGTCTTATTGATTACATAATGGGGTGTGGGTTGATTGGATGGAGGATACAAGGTGACTAATCCATTCAGTATACTGTCGAACAAACCAGGCCAACTGCGACTGCTAAACCCACACCATTCCATATGGATTTTTAAGATGGACAGGCAAATTGGATTGCTCATGCCCTAGAACAATTCTTGACAACATAAGCCCAATGATAATTAAAGGCCAGGGGGTTTGCACTTAGTAAGCACTCAATGAATGCTTGTCAATAAGTCTGTTTCTGAAAAACTAGATGGCAACAATGGTTTCATAACTATTCTCCTTCATTGTATCCCAAGTGCCTTTTCTTATCTTTTTCTCAACTATAAAAGAGAAAATGTTAACATTCTCGCAAGGTGCTAGAATTTCAATATCTCTTATACTCTTTGGACTCATTTCCTTCTATCTCTGTGTTCTTTAGGACTAAGCACTCACATTAGCAGCATCGTTCAGTCAATACAGAGCAAACAAATTCCCTCTTTTGCTGCCACAAACAGTGATGGATTTTGAAGGTTTCATCTATCACTTGCTGTCTGCACTGTATCTGCTTTCTTTGCTTTTTTAAAAAAAAAATTAGGGATACAGTCGTACTTTCAACAATAAGGATCCATTGATTACGCACCATGCTGGACGATAAAAGAACAGACTTCTACCACCTGCATGGGCAAGGAGTTAGCGATCTTGAGTATGAATCTTACTGTTGATACTTGTTTTCTCATCTACCAAAGCAGAAGTATTTCAGAGACAGAAGATGAGAACAGTTCAATCAGAAATGAAGATCCCAAAACTATGAAAGAACAAGCAAATTATACAGTAATTTTGTAGAGGTAAACCTATGGAAAATAGCACTTCAGCAAAGGAAACAAGTACCCAAAACAATCTCTAAATTTTATTGCTCTTCCCAATTCAAGTGCCTAGGGGTTATCTCTAAATTGTCTCCCAGATTTCAAGATGAACAGAGTTTGATAGCATCAACACTTAGCAGAACACCTTCCCCTCTTTTCTTCCCAGCTGTCTTAGTCAAGTATCTTTGGTTTACTAGGAAATCATTCCTTCAGTCATGTGGGTACTGGCCTTTGGGCTTGTGTTCAGGGACAAGTGTCTGTTTCGCCTTCTCTCTGTGTGTCCTGATGTCTAACTTGCTTGAGGAAGGGCATTGTGACCCTATGGGGTTAATAGAAACTGCTCACTGTCTCTCCCTTTCAAATGGCATCTGTAGCACGTGCCATATCTCTCTCACCTTACTTAGGTACACCTGTGTCCACAGAGGTTAGAATCTATATTTAGTCTAGTCCATGAATCCTGTTTCCCTATCCTTGAAATGAAAGTAATAGTACCCACATGAAATGCAATATGAAACATTCTTCATTTACCTAGTGGTAGATATTGAAAGCTCCACAATGATTCATTTTCTTTGCTGAGAGTAGCAGTTCTCTAGTCTACAGTTAGGGCATAATGAATTTCTCAATTGAGTTGAAAGTAGTTTGTTACTAATAATACATTTCTGAAGTTTGTAAATGATCCCCTTCTTAAACATAATTAGCGTCCATTCAAGATTAGCCTTGAATAATATCACCCTTTCTTGGGTTTTTAAGCACCTTTTGAAAAGGAGATAAAGAGGTAAATCTCAGTTAATTATCTAGGACATTCTCATAGTTTACAGTCTTTCTTATCTTAATCTGTTGTATGTCTCCAATGTCAATGGATCACATCTGGCATTAAAAAAAAAAAAAAAAACACCCTCCCCTAAAAAAAAAACAACAACAACAAAAAACTGTTTCTGAAGACTTCAGAAGTCCCAGGTTTCCTAAATTCAATATGACTAATCACACTGGGTTGCAAAT